TGGGAAACTGACATTAAAGGGGTAGATCAGACATTTCTTTGTATCAGGTAACAGACTGTCAAAGATGTAAAGTAAGATAATTAAATCAATTCCTAAAAAAGTTATTCTGACATAGTGAAATATCAACATTTTGAGATGTGTAGTGACTGCTTTGATTAAATTTTGATTTATTCGATTTTCTCACTAGACTGTCTTTATGTTTTTAAGACCTCACACTAATAGGAGAATAAAAGTCTGCAGGATCTTCGTGTCGCTGTGCGGCAGAGTTTCAGTTTTAATGTTGGTCGTCCGTTCAGCTGTTCTGTCTAAATCCGCCCTACATGTGTTTGTTGGGCGAAACATGGCACATAAGGCTTTTCTTTGATTTTCTATCATTTCTTTTCTGTCACAGATCGACACACCACTCATCAGCTGTCATTTTCTCCTTTATTCTTCCAATATCCGTAAATATTGGCTTTATAATTTTCTTTTTTTTCCATTTTCACACCTTTTCTGTAAAGTGTAAAGCTACATTTAGTCAATGACTGATCTGAATTAACTGCAACTTTCTCCTTTTTCCTGTTAACATATGAATATAATTATTGCTCCAGCACATACAGTAGTGTTCAACTTTAAATTTCTTTAAAGCACAAATAAGAAGACCTGCTCTTCTTTGCCTATTTTTTTTTTAGTCTCCTCTTCTGTCTCCTATCTTCTCCTTAGGCCATGTTTGCGAGCTACGTCCCTGAAATCATAGAGTTAATAGGAAACCGAAAGAAATATGGTGGTTCCTATAGTGCTGTTAATGGGAGAAAGTAAGTATTCCAGGAGGCTCTACTGCCTCCACCGCAGTAGAACCTTCTCTGCATGCCCTTTTCTTTTTCTTTTCCATGCATGTAGGCCATGTTTGCTCGCTACGTGCCAGAAATTGCCGCTCTCATCCTTAATCGGAAGAAATATGGAGGGAGTTATAACTCGACCAGAGGCAGAAAGTAAGTCCAACGAAGAAAACTTTGAATGGTGTGGTTTTGTGTGACTCTAGTGGCCCTCTCATAAAGAGGTGACATATAGTCTGAGATGCAAAGATCTCGATTAACACTGAAGTCACACTGTGACTGAAGAACTTGGCCATGATTAATGTGGAATTATTGTTCTGTATTGCTGCTGCTGTTTTTGTACATGTGCAAGGTGCCATCGCTGCTCGCCATGAATCAATGTTTGCTTTTACACTGCAAAAAATATCTGCATCCAAGCAAGTGGTCTCTGTCTGTTATTGAGTCCTGAAAGTTGGAATCGTGTAAAACAAGTGAACAAACCGAAAAAATTAATTTCTTTTTGAAAAATTCTACAAATTAATTTTTTTTCACACAAACAGACAAAAATCACTTGATAAGACATTTTTTTCGGTGTTGTCATATAAATGTACTTTTATTTTTTAAGGTGGCACATGAAGGATTTTCTCACTGAGATATCTGGTATCCATACTACTTTGATTTTTTTTCCAAATGCTAAATTGGAAATAGAACCACATCGCAAATGAGGTAATATATTTGTATTTGTAGTAAGGTAAGGATAGTTGTTGCTATGGATACGTCCAGGTTTCTAGCAGTGGTTAAACTTTAAAACTGTGAAAGTTTAGTTTAAGAGACAGAATCTGAGAGAGAATCCTTCATGTTTTATTGTGGTGATGGTCTGTACTCATCTGTGTCTGTTGAGTTTTGGGTTCGTAAATCAAGTGTCTGCATCAATAATCTACTCAACCATCCACAGTGGAATTTGTGTCTCACAAAAAATGCATAAATAAGTCACCAAGATAA